GGGGATGGAAGAGATACTTTTGACTGGGGCTGCCGTTTGACGACGTTCCTGCCTTCACCTTTTTTTTTTCTCAATATTTTCAACGGAAAAGGTTTTTGTTTGTTTGTTAGCTGCATCTGCTGTTAGATTGGTTGTGAAACTGGCGTGCAACTCAAAGGAATGGCGCTGTCGCCCCGCGAGCACAGCTGCTGTTTTCCTGTTATGAGTTTTTTTTGCACGTGCCGAAAAAAATGCCGCAGCCGATTTGGCTCATGATGGGGACCGCCTTTCTGCTGAAGACGGCACACGGCGCCGCTGCCTCTGGAAAACAGTTTTTTCTCTCCACGCAGCATACCATTGCACTATGGCAATTCATCGCGGACCCGACTCGACTGACGATACCAGAGGTGTACCGCAAGACGAGGTTTGTAGTCGTGCGTCTGTATTTGCCGGATAGTGATGGACGGGCAATCACCGGCAGCAAGGTAGACCTGCATCTAGTGTCCCTCTACCCCTCACTGGATGTTGCGCTACTGGTCCTAAAGTCACCCGCTGCCTCTTTCTAGGAAAAAAGTGAACCCAATGCACATGCGGGGGAGGTATAGCGGTTGGCAGAGACTCTGGGCGATGGCCTCGCGTTGTCTGCGGCAGACCCCGAGGTGGGTGACTCGTGTCTCGCTTCCGGCTACCGTGGCGTAGGCTCTCTGGGGCTTCTGGACACAGCCGACCCCAACTTGCTGCAGCGTCTAGCTGTAGTGCAGCGCGATGAATTGCTGGTGAAACTGAGGTGGCGTGGAAAGGCAGCAGGAGACTGCCACGTCACGGGTGGAAGTACTGCACGCCGGCGGAATATGCCGCGCGACTCAGGGTCGCTGCTACCACGGCATGTCAGGAGCTCCACTTCTTGTGAATGACCACACATGTGGCGGCATTCTTTATGGGACACACACAGAGCACCTAGAGTACGTGGGGTACACACCTGCACGCAGCTTTGACGCGTGGGTATGGCGTATGGTGGGAACGGGGTAGCTTGTGTTATTGGCCATTATCGCTTTTCTTTTATAGGGCTGTGTCTGTGACCCCTCGGAGGTGGAACCTACGGCTTGCAGCATTTACATTCTTGACATTATATTCACAAGAAGCTACTGCTTGCCTACACTGTGGTTTTTCTTTAAATTTATTTCAACCTCACTTTTTTCTCTTTTTTATTTTCTTGCGAATTCGTGGAGCAGTTTCGGAGCCCCTGGGCGAAGAAAACACACACGAAGGAAGACAAGAACAATGTTGGATGAGCGGCCCACGAAAACGATGCGGACGGAGTGTGGCACCAAACCCGTCAGCACCAAAGAATTTCTACAGACAGGTGTGGCGGAAGGTCCCTTCAGCGTACTTGACAGCGCAATGCGAAACGGGACCCGTGTCTTCATTCAGTCACGCTTTAACAAATCCCTCGTCGCTACGGTTGTTGCTTTCGACAAACACTTCAACCTCATCCTCCGCGACGTGGTGGAGCTAACAATGGTCAACAATGAGCAGAAGGAGCGGTCTATACGCAACATGTTCCTGCGCGGAGGGTCGGTGGTGTTCATTGTCAAGCTGCCGCAGAATGCGGCGTAGCGACACGCATGGATGCTGCACAGCCACTCGAGCACGCATACACGGATACCACTGCCTTCTCTAATTAAGCTGAGAAGACGTAGGAGAGGAATAGTTGATGGGAGGAGAGGGGTGCTTGTGCCCCCTCAGAGACTTGTTTCCTTGTATATAGTTTTTCTACTAAGTTTATCTGCCTTTCAATTATTATTATTTCTCTTCTCGCAACCTCTTTCCCCCTCTTTTTCCATTGCTCTCTTTTTTTTTTTGTAGGTTTTCTGTTTGCTTACTTTCTCATTGGTTTTTGTGTAGTAAGCAGGGGTACATTGATTCAACAAAACACAATCTAGTGTGCAGCCTCTTTTTCGTCGCGACATTGACGTTGATGCTCACATGCATGGGCGCCGTGAGTACTGCCGCCGGCAATCTGCCTGAGCCTGCGCTGGGGCACGACAACCACGGAGAAATTGTGCGGAAATGCGGCAAGGTAGCGGTCGCCGAGGTGCAGTGGTTCCAATGAAAAACATCGGAGGCAACTAACCTCATTGGAGCGCTCTCAAGTCCAACTGGACGTTATCGTTATCCGTTGAACGTGCTAAGTTTAGTTATTTGCATTTGCGGGAAAACAGTTTTTTCCCCAAAACGTTGTGGAGGTGGTGCAATGGAGGGAGTTCCGCAGTTGAGATTACTTCATTAGTTAGCAGTCAATGTGGGTGCCACTTCGTGTTTGACACCTCTTTTGCTTTATTATTATTATTTTGTGTGTGTGTGTGCGGGGTGTGTGAATATATATAATCAATGCATAACGTTCCGAGCCCACGTTTTCCCCTTCAGCCATGAAGGGGTGGCCCTTGTTTACGTTGATGTGGGTGATCGTGTCAAGCAGGGCCTCTTTTGCGTTAACTTGTCACTCTTTGTTTCTGTCCCCCTCTATCTATCACTGTTTCTTTTCCATCTTTGAATTGTTTCAACACGCGGAGAAAGTTTGTTTGGTTCCGGTGTAGAAGACCACCTCCGCTTATCCTCTATGCTTTTTACGTGCACTGCGTGTGGCGGTGCTACCACAGATGAGGTGTGCCACAAATGCATCTCGCAGCCGAGCAGCCTTCCACAAGAGGCGTGTAGTCACCGCTCCCACCTCACTGATGATTCGCCGCAGAGTTTTCAACAGGAACAGCAGGAGGCCACCCCTGTTATGCCACCGACGACACCGCGCAACGGTTACTTTGCGGGGCGATGTGTTGTCGAAGAGGGGTCGACAGTTGGGCATGAGCTCATTGACCAAAACAGTATCAAGCAGTCACCCAGTTTGATGCCAGGTATGTCCTCCCCGTTGCAAAAGAATTCAACTAACAACACTTATGAGGAGAGAGTGGGGGGCAGTAATGTAGTTTTGGCTGCGCATGAAAATGTGCCTACAGTGATGAAATTTCCTAAAAACAGACGAGTCTCAACGCTTTGGAAAATAAGGGCCACTAAGCCGCTCTCTAGTAGGAACATAACAAAGGTATGCTGTGTAGAGTTTGATGGCGAAGGCTGGGGCAGCATACTGACAGACCACGAAGACGGACTCTACGCAGCGTTACAGTTCGACATTTCTAACGCTCTGTTCTTCACATGCTCTTTTTCCTTCAGACTAATGAAGACGAGCAGCGGATTTGTCGTGTATTGCACCATAACATACCCAGCACATGTTGGCGACGACACCGTATACCACAGCCTTGCTGACTATCACTTTCCAGTCACACGACGGCTATACCAGACCCGGTTACTCCGAGGTAAGTTAGGCTTGCCCATGCAGAATCTTAACAAGCGCATTCAAAAACCTGCCGCCTCATCCGCTTTTAGCGTTAACGAGGATTCAATAAATAGTTTGACAGGAATCGGATTCTGCACGTTCAATGAGGTACCACATCCTTCTTTACAAACGACACAACGTCCTACAAGTGTGTCTACAGGCAGCAAACCGAAAGAGACGTCTCTTGTTGATTCAACTAGACCTAACCTACGGAGCCACAACGTTGATATGAGAAGCATCACTACATCCACTACAGCACGAAATGCACTTTCAGACCAAACAGCAAACCACACTCAGTCCAAATCAGGCAGTTTACAAGGACAACTAGAGAGAGGATCAGTGCAATCAATCCACTCACACACAGACAGGGAAGGTTATCTTTCACCAACAAACGACTGCTCCAGAACAATAAAATCTACAGACATCCCATTCATACATCCTACAACAAAAGAAGTGTGCAGCTTGACGTCCGCCCCCCAAAGTGTTGCCCTGCGGTCTGGTGACGAGCGTCTCATGAGTGTGAGGTCGTTTGGTGTTGGAAGCATCCCAGACACAGTGATGGGATCAGGGCGCAGCTTGACGTCCGCCCCCCAAAGTGTTGCCCTGCAGCCTGGTGACGAGCGTCTCATGAGTGTGAGGTCGTTTGGTGTTGGAAGCATCCCAGACACAGTGATGGGATCAGGGCGCAGCT